AGGTTGGGCACATACCCTGTAGTGTCTGCTCACTTCGGCGTATATTGACATCGGATTACACTTACTTATGCCTAGCTCGCCAGCTCGGCACTTCAGCGCTTCGGAGTAATCCATACTTAGAAAAATTTTGGGCAAACAAAATTTGTGCACACGAGATGAGTAGCCAAAAGATCTCATTCATTCAAAGGAAGTTCATTTACATTCAACAAAAAAAAGGGAAGGAAAACAAAGTTACAACTAGTTAACTGAGCTCAGAGGCTCGGGACATCAAATATTTATGAGGGGTCCAAGAAAAGAGGCATGTGAAGTCAGTCTTTTTGGGGCTCCTCGCCCTCACTAGTATCATTTCAGGGCAGATCGGTCTCCATGGCGTTAGAGGTATCTTCAGCTATCTCTTCTGTTGTTTCTTCACTGAAGTCATCATCATCGCTCCCTTCCTCGGAGTCTGGATCCTTTGCAACCTCGTCGGCCATCTCCTTAGTAACCCTGATGGTGGTAATGGCCTTGAGGTCGAGCTCGAGGAATTCACACTGCATCATCCTTCTACTAAGCTTAAAGCCCTTCCGATAAGATGTTGTGGCGGCCTTTATCAATAGCTTGCAGAATTTCTGCGAGCTCTTATAGACATTGACGGCTTTCCTCGCGGCCTCCTTGATCACATTGTTGAAGATCGCCTCGCGCTCCTGCAGAAGGAATTGAAGATCCTCCTTTTCTTTTTCCATATCCTTCTTCTCTCACATCAACATCTCGATCAGATCCTTTTGAGCTCGTGCGTTATTTTCTAGCTTGTGGATTTGACTGAGGTTCTTGTTCAGCTTGCGCTGAGTGCTCTTAAAGGAATCTTTGGCTTGCAGGGTTCTCCTCAGATGTACGTCATACTTCCGAACTAAAGTGTGGATCATGGAGTTCGCTTGCCAAAAAGAGAAAATAAGTCCCAAGTATTGAAGGACAATGAAAAGCATTGTTTGAAGTGCAGACACGTACCACCATGTAGTGACTGGCAGCCTTATGCCCGAGCTCACCGATCGAGAGCTCAGAAAGCTTAGCGACCTCTACTGCGTAGATCGCTTCCTTGCTCTTCTGGAGGCTGCATTTTGGGTCCATGATGCTTGGCGGCACTTTGGAGCCCTCTCCTGACGAGCTGGCTCGGCGAGTAGCTTGGAGCTCAGACTTCGAGATCTCCTCGGATTTGCGAGGTGGGGAGTCCTCACCACGGTCTTCTTTGACCAGGCCGATCATAGGAGGGTCCTCGGTGACAGCGGCGTCCTCGGTGGGCCGGGCAATGGTTTCTTGGGAGTGACCCTTCTTGGATGTCCTCCTCTTTTTCCTCTTCTTCATGCTCCCAAAGAGCTTGCCAGCGGGGATTTCCTCCATAGAACCTATGGAAAGTAACAGTGAAGTTGGCCAATATAATTAAGGATAAATTCAAAGGATAAGTGCGTGGACCGAGGTGGTGACCTACCAGGAGGACTCAGCCCGACTTATCTGAGCTTCGCCCAAGAGCAGACTTCTTCCTGTCTCTCCTTGTCTAACTTGATGTTGGAGTCCTAAATGGTAGGCCTCCAGTGAGTTGGAAATGGCCACCCCACAGTATTACGAACCATGAAGTAGCGTTTCTTCCAGGTCGGGACTTTATTGGGGAAGTCTTGCAAGATTTTGTAACCAGGTTGGGGAGACATATAGTAGCTTTGCCTGTGCTCCAGGAGGACACAGGCGGAGTTCTTTTTGATGGAATAGATCGAAGCAAAGATGTCGAGGGTCAAAGTCCTATTATAGTCATGAAAAATGGAGATGGTACCTACAATATTGCGGATCGAGTTGGGATGGAGCTGATCTATGGCAATGTCAAAAAATTTGACGACCTCGATGATAAAGGGGTGAAGTGGGAAATGTAGCCTAGCCGTGAGCTGCTCCTCGAATACCACGATCTCGTCGCGACCATGGTCCCAAGGAAACCTTCCTAGAGGAATACTATATACAAGGTTACCGGGGAGCTTGTAGTGAGCTACTAGGGACAGGAGCCCATCAGTTGTCATCGTTGAAGGACCGAAGCTATCTGGCCCCCGAGTCCGGTGCGAAGTGGAGGTCCACTTACGGAAGCCTCGCGCTCTTGCCGAGGTGCGTCTGCCTCGGACAGGTTGGAGTCCGAACCCCATACCGAAGCACTCACCTCGGTAGGATGCAATTCTTTGGCCTGCGCCGAGGTCCCCACCTCGACTTCGGTAGACTCCTCACTTAGGTCAAAAAAGCTGCCCGTGCTAACACTAGACATGATGAGCTGCTTGGAAAAGATAGATAGGAAATGGAAACGAAAACAAGACGAAAACACCTAAAAATCGAAGAAGAGAACGAAGTGATCTCGATAGCAGGAATAGGAGGCACCAACATGGAGACAAATGGGCCCCTCTAGGCCCCTCTTTATACCCGCCATGCCCGGGGATTTGACGGTCGAGATCTTGCGCAATCCAATGGCTCTCGTGGAAACCGACTACATGCCTACCAAGATTGAAATCGGTTGAGCGTGGGCTTTGGCGTCGATAGAGCTCATAAACCGCATGACGTCTGCGCGTCCCTGGTATGCGATCTAGGTTATTTCGGTTGAGCCAAGCGAGTCGATGTGGTCTGACCAAAGAACCACTCTTCCGACCAATAGAATATGGGCCAAGTCCACCTAGCCTTGTCATGAACTCCCCTCACCGGGTCAGGACCCCCAACACGGGGAGTGGGGGGCAATTGATGAGGGGTAATTTGGCCCAACCTAATGAATAAAGGACACGTGGACACGACCTTCCAGCCAGGCAATGACTCAACACTTCTCGGCACCTTCGTAGACCGGGCTACCTCGAGTACGTTAGTCACTTTGGATAGAACTGGAGTCAGGGGACCTCGGCAACCGCATGCGCTGAGGTGACACATAGTGGATTCTAGAAGTTCGCTAGTTGTCCCCGAGCCTTTCGGGATCACGCCACGCAACCTTAGGACTTATCCTCATTCCACCCGAATCGGATAGAGGTGATAAGCCTTATCAACTAGTACGTTGGCCACCTTCCAAATCGGAACGGACTCCTACCACCCGCTCCAAAGATCCCAGAGAGGCTCCTTCGGGCTCATGGCAGTTCAAATATATAAGGACATTGGTTCCCTTAGTACAAGGTACACACGATTACTTGCTCATTAGCTCTCTTATATACTTAAGCTTTCAGCTCGCAACTAATACTACAATACTAACTTAAGCATCGGAGCAACCTCATCGGGTTAGCCACCTCGGATCCTTTGATCTGTTTTATTACAGTTCAAACCAACTCGCTACGCGACTAGCCTCCAGATAACCTTTCAGTTAGGAGCTCTCAGATCGTGCACCATCAATAAACATACTAATTTTGTATAAATATATGCATGTTATTGTTGTATTTTTATTCTTGAAATTGTACATACCTTTTCTTGTAATATTTTTACCATACAGGTATGTTGCTATAGTTAAGGAGGAAATCCACCCCAACCATTATTAGCATTACAATCGTACTTGCCACACTTCACTCCGCTGTTTCAAAGTTAATAAATAGCCTATCGTTGCCTTATTTTTGGATTTTTAATATCAAGTTAAATTTCATGTTTTCAAAACTGGACTTGACCGGAAAACTAGGAATTGGTCACTTGAGTGGTTCAGTTTTACCCCAAAAATGCTATTTGGTCAAAAACCGTTGATTTAGTCAGTGAACCATTGATATGGGCGGTTGAACTGTATGACTCGGGAACGGTTTTTGGTCGTTTTTGGGTTTTTCAAATTTTCAAATTTCTTTTATGTTTTGTCAGAGTAGGCTGTCCGTTCGGACTGGATGGTTGGACCGTTCGACTCGGTGACCAGACCCCATAATGGTTCCCTGTCCGGTCCGGTTTTAAAAACCTTGGTTAAATTACTCTCAGTAATGTCTTGTGAAGTTTTCTTAGGGTATGCTTGGTTCATGGGAATAGGGGTTTGGACTAGGATGCTGGAATGTCATTCCCATTCTAGCCGGAAAAGAAAAAGAAAAAGAAAAAGAAAATACCCAACACGCGTCAACCCTCCTTGGGATTCATACATATCTTAGAGAATCCAAATTCAATTCTTGTTTGATCCAAACATTCAAGGAATTAGGTGATTTCGATTCAGATTCCAACTGCAAACCAAATGAACCCTTTAATACTTATATTATATGACCTATAATATATCCCGACTCCGGCCTTGATGGATTAATCCATTTGACTCCAAATGATTTAAAATTATAAAAATAATATTATATATTTTATATTTTGAATATATAATATTAGAGATGTTTCCAAAATTTGTATACTTTTAATATTTTTATTTATTTTAAACTTTTATTATTTAATCTTGACATCATGGGCTAATCCCATTTGACCTAGCTTGAGGGTTCAACTACTTATCCATCATTTGATGAAATACAATTTCATTTTCAAGTCAGTTTTAAAACACAGATTTTGCATTGTTAAAATTATCGGATATGGATTTAATTAGTAGAGTTTATTGGTAAAAAACAAAAGATGCATTAAATATAAAATTTAATGTGAGAGAGAATGAGAGTTAATTGGATCTTGAAAAAGTGGGAGTTAGCACCTTTAAATGTAGTAGTACTTAATGAGATCTAGAGAATTGAATGAAGCACAAAAAATAGTATTGTTGCGAGTTTATTTATTTAATACATCTTAAATATATGATTTAATGAGAATTAATACCTTAAATTCAAGACTTAAATATATGACTAAGATCATTGTCATCTGTTATTTGTAAATTTTCAAGCAGCATATGAAAAAAAGCTTCCAAATAAAGCAGTCCAAGGCAATTTTCACTCAACAGACAATAAGTTGCGTCTTAGATCTGGGCCTAAAAAACATAAGTTCAAAATCATTCCAAACTTTTAACAAGTGGTTTTTCATCAAATCTATAGTAATGCAGATGATATGCATCTATTGATGATGATGCACAATAATTTATGAACAAGTTAAGAGTAAGTATATCGGTTTATAGCGAGGCCCATCCCCATAATATTGCAATATAACATCAAGTACTGATATTTGAAACAAAGTGAACCAAATGGAGCTGATGAACCCAGTTTTCTTTATCTCAAGTGCTAGCCAGGTTTTCTATTGGGTAAGATAGACAGGATTTGCCTTTTGATGGCATATATAGATACGGCTGCAGAAGATAAAAGGTTTACCACAGTGATATTAACCAGCATAGATTTTTTTTTCCATGTATATTTACACTGACATGACCACAGTTTATAGCAGTTTTAGTTTGTATTCTTCATATAGGCTTAGAACCTCGTGAAGAACTGCATCTGCTTCAGAAAAGGGCTTAAGCTCTCCATTAGTTTTTCACATGGGTGGTTGTGGATGCCTTCGTAAGTTGTCACGACAATGCTCGTGTCCTTTGATAGTCGTTGAACTTGCTTCTTCACGTTGCATGTGTGATGTGTGCAGCGATAATAGCTTCTTCATTTGTGTAAACAAATAAAGGGATTACAGACAAAAAACATGCTCGGGTAATCATCCATCAACATGTAAAATCGTGAAGAGAACATTAAGTGTAAATATATCAACTCAATAAACATGCTCGGAGTTTTATAAAATAATCAAGTTTAATTCACTTATCTAGATGTTGTTTGACAAGTCATTTTAGGAACATCTTCTTGTTGGACAGTTATGCCCATAGCTCCAGTCAGATTGATGTATCTTTCGACATTTATTATAAATGAATAAGGTACATAATTGATTCATGTCATTATAGTGTGTTTCTGTCTATTGACCCATAAACTGGACATTTATGAGACTCGTGTTAGCTTAGAATCTTCACAGCCGTTGGATAGATCTAAGGAGGTCTATCATGTCAAGGCTAACCTGATGCGCCACGAAGTTGGTTGGGGTGGCTTGTCTCAGCTGCTAGAGTGAGACCTGAGGTACATGTAGTGTGGGTTTTCTTGAAACCTCGAACTGGACCATTTTCCAGTATTGCCCTGGACCTTGGAGACAGATGGGCAAAACTGGAAAGTTACACCTAACCCCTAGACTCGATTATGGTACTGCACTAGGTGTTAGACAAAGTGAATGATCGGGTAATGCACTCTCTCTGATGGAAACCTAAACTACCAGCAGTTGATTTCAAATGTTGAGATTTGTTTTTGCAAAATATATATTTATATAAAGATATACATATATATAAATATTTGCAAAATGTTTTAATTCCCAGGATCCATGTGAGTAGAGAGTGCAGTATTGCACCTTGCAGCCGAGGGAGAGGTCCTCTCTTGTCAGGCAGTGTTTGATCATTATGGGCTGAGAGGTTAAGTGTAAGACCATTGAGGGTAATACCTAATGAGCTAATCTTGCATCTGCCCACAGTTCTTGGGTTTTTATAAGGTGGCTGGATCCAAGAACCATTTAATGTAAATGTTGGGTCCATTGAGAGCCCATGGAGATGGACTCAGGGGTTCACTATCTCATACAGTGAATTCGACTAGGCTTTGTAACAGCGGCTGAGCTGAACCCATGTGGCTGATGTGTAGATCAATGTTTGGGTCCCATGTCATACAAAGAGAGCCAAGTTGGCAGTAAATTAAAGAGTAAATGAGCACATAAGCTTAATGGGCCTAAGTTCCAATTCGAAGTGGGCTTAAGTTAGTTAATTAAAAATGGGGCGAATTCAGTTTTTTAAACTGATTAGGATTAGCTGAAGTATAAGATAAGTCTTATCCAGTTAAGAGTCTAGATCCAAATATAAGATTTGGATTAGGAAACTCTCTCCTAATTAGATTAGGAGGCTAATCCAAAGAATGCTATAAATAGGGGGCGAATTCTTCAGATTTAACACACAACAACAAATTGCAGAATTCTTCCCAGTGCTTGCCGCCCCTACCCAGTTCGATCTTCACTTGTGGATCTGATCAAGAAAGGTTCTTGATATTGTTTCTTGGTAAAAGAAACAATCTGAAGTCATGCTCACCAGCCCTTGCTCGATTCTTGCTGAAGAATTCAGGTTCTTGCTGAAGAACCATCATGTTGATCCTGTTTCACTACACAATGTGTCAACTTCCGTGGAAGCGGGTTTTGGTCTTCTCTTTGGGCGTGAACACGTGCGCTGGGAGTTATTGTTACTTTGTATTAGGTATATCCCTCATTCTCTTTTGGTTTCAGATTTGATCCGGTTTTGGATTCAAGAATGAACATTGAAAATGTAATTTGCTAAATTAGGGAATACGATTTCCGAGAAGGGGGAGAGAGAATTTTTGAAATTTCGCCCAACATTTCCGCATAGTTCGGCCATCCATTCGATGGATCTCCCTTCCCTTCACTTCTAACAGCCTAGATGGTCAAAAAACATACTGAGCTTCTAGGGTCTTGTCTTTAAAGATTAAGACCTTTTGGTAAGTGTGTATCTTGGTCTACCATGATCTACCATATGTGAAAACAAAGCAGTCTAGAAAATTTCCTCTTTTCTTTTTGAATATATTTTTTTTATTTTTTAATCTAGTTATTTTGTCTCTAATGAATCAACTTTCTGAATTTGATCCGTTGTTGGCCACGTCTGATGGCTTTCCTAGAGCCATACTTCATCATGATTTTAAGAGGTTTATCACGTCAGAAACCTCTCCTAAATCGTGTGCAACTAAGAAAACTCCCACCATTCTTATCACAACTCACCTATTGTTTATAGGTTTTAGAACTCACCGATTGTTGGGAGGGTTTAGACCAAAAGCAGAGACTGAAGACTTTACCTATCTTTTTATTTGAATGAAAAAAAAAAGTGGAATTACTCTGTTTTGCACAAAAAATAGTGGTGGAACTACTTTGCAGTCATTTTTTTTTAATCATATCTATTTTTTCTAATCGGGAGAGTCTGATAATCGTTTTCAGACTTTAGCCATCGGCCGTTTCTCAATCTTAGACACCAGTACATTTTCAGACGTTAATTTTCGGTTGGAGACATTATCGGAGGTCTTGGAGTTACACGTTTTTCTCGTTATCAAATTTGAGTCTCCCCCTTTACAATTTCTATCGTTTTTTCAATTTCACTCTCAATCCCCATTATTCTATTACTTTTTCATTTTCATACTCTCAGCCCCATTATTATTGTCGGTGACTCTGTCTAACAGCTTTTGGGAGTGAACGGTGTATAAAAAATTGTGAAAAACTCTTACCATAATTGATTTTTATGGCCAATGTCCAACGACACTATTCATATGTTCAGGTTGGGAAGATGAATTAGGTCGGATTGTGGATAGCCCGCTTCAGCCCGACCCATTATAATATACTTGTAGATTTTTAAACCCAGCCTAGACTGGTATTAATGACTAAATCGGTCTCATTTCATCTTCTCAAACCGGTCCATAAATAATTAATAATTTTTAATTGTAACTAATAACAATTATTAATTATAACTGAGTGGTTTTAACTACTAACCTGGTGATGTTTTAACTACTAATTAATACTTTTTAATTATTAACTAATAATAACCAATTATTACTATTACTTTCTCAAAATAATTAATGATATTTAAAACTAGTCCAAAAATAATTGTTCAATATTTATTTTAAATGTTGTCAATTAGTAATTCAATAATTGTAATAATTTTCATTCAAGCTTTAGTAATTTTTACTTATTTGATTTAGTGTTCTCAGTAATTAGTTATTAATGTTATTTCAGTAATTTTAATATTTATTTTTTACTTGTATTAAATATATCAATAGTTAATATTTTCAATTATTCAATACTATTAATTTTTTAGTTATTCAATGATTTTAATATTTTTATTAAAATTATTATTATTATTATTGTCAATAATTAATATTTTCAGTTATTAAATATTTAATATTTCAATAATATTTTTAATTCATAATATAGTATTAAACATATTGATTTTATAATTATTTTTTAAATTAATATTATTTTCAGAATTAATATGAATGGTTTCATAATTAATTATTCACAATACCAAATAATTATTGAATCATTTAAAAAATTCAAATTACTGAAAATGACCTATATTTTTCAAATTAAATACTGAATAATCATTTTGAAATCTGAAAATACTAAAATTTCTGAAGATATGAAATAATTACCAAATTTCTTAAGAAATTTTCCGTAAAATTATCATAAAATTATTGAAAATAGCAAAAATAATTACGAACTCATATTTACTAATTAATTACAGAAAATAATTACTGAACACTACTACAAATTTTGAAATATGAAAATTCAAAATATTTACTGAAAATTCTGATAATTAGTGAGAATAAATATTGACAAGAAATTACTTAATATAATTATGAAAAATATCAAAATTACTGAAAATTTCTAAAAGTTTTAAAATTCCTAAAATATCTGAAAGTATTGAATAATTTTAAAAATTCAAAATATAAACTGAAAAATCCGTTAATTAGTGAGAATAATTATTGAAAATAATTACTTAAAGTAATTCTGAAAAATCAGAAAATAGATGAAAGTACTGAATAATTTTAAAAATTCAAAATATTTACTGAAAATTCCAATAATTAGTGATAATAAATATTGAAAATAATTACCTAAAATAATTCTAAAAAATCTAAAAGTTACTGAAAAAATTGTGCGGGCTCAAATTGGGACAGGTTGGGCTCGGGCTACCCAAGGCCTCAATCCAAGCCCACTCTCAGTTTAGTTTGGGCCTAGGTTTTTTAATCCAAGACCAGCTTGCAATTTAAAAACTCAAGCCCGATTGAGTTGGTTAGGCTCACTCAAATTGCACCCCTATCTCATTTTGCTTTAAGTTCTTTTAATAAAGTTCGTGCACTGCACGGGTCCCTACTAATTTCCTCCTAAATGATGATGGTGAAGACAGTATGGTATGACAAGTATGACAAGTATGAGTCCCCGTCAATTAATTTAAAGTGTTGCATCCTCCAACTCTAAAATAGTCTCACCTCAAGCCAATATGGAAATGGTTTTTTTTTTGAAAGGAATATAGAAATGGGTTGGGTTCACTTGACACAGTTTCCTTATTTTTTATTGTTTCTAAGAAAAAATGTGCCCACATCTCAGGATTTGGGACAATGTTATTTTTTCGGTATTACATATTACACATGAAAGGTGGCGATAGATTAGTGAGGTCTATTGACTATTGTTGGGTCCAGACGATTAATCATCTGTATTTGTTATTTTGAGAGCTTTCCAAGAGTTTACTGGGGACATCGAGTTCATCAAATCATGTTTCAAGATGATTCTTGGCCAAAATATCTCAATGATAAACAGATTAGTCCTTGATGGTGGGGGATCCAGACCAATCAATGAGTCTGTGAATTTAATCCAAAGGTCTTACTGCCATTAAAAGTGTTAATGAAGGTGTGTAACTTTTGTTTAAATAAATTACTCAATAATTTTAAGGAAAAAAATGTATCTTGAAAAACTTTTCTCCTCATTCAAATCCCTTCCATTAAGTCTTATATTTAATGTATTGACTATTA